ATACGCAAATGCGTAGTACGACGAATGAAAACAAGAGAATTTTGGTTAAACCTTCCTTGAAACATTTTTACATTATGTTAATAACGAGGTTGTTAACGAGGCTATTTACATCGTTAATGCAAATAAAAAGGTTGATAAGACGAAATAAAGTTACATAAAAAAGAAAAATTAATAACACTGTCCAAAAACTTGTGAGTTACCTTCTCGTGCTTACTTTGCACAAAAGTGCTACGGTAAATTATAAAAATTATTTTTTTCAATCGTATAATTATAAACCGGCGATATAATAGGAAGGTAGTACTGCGAAAAAGATAATGCATACGCTCGCAAAACCCTGTTTTGTCTGAAACACACGGCTTCGCGAAATGTATTTTAAAAAAGATACAATCGCGACAATGCATTTTTGCAAAGCAATGCAGAGCCAGCAAATATTACGATTTGCATTCTCGGTAACGAAATAGAAAGGCAGCCGAAGTAGTAGTTTGTATCGAGATAGCTAGTATTTGTGTTACATACTCGTTATTATTAGTCGCTCGATAGTATTATAAAATATCGATGCAACGAAAGAAAAGTAACGGGGAGATTCGTACTTTTTCGTACCCCGTCAACTAGATTTGTTTAAAAATACGGAGCAGCAATAGTTATATAGTTATGCGAGCATTTATCAATGAGGCAAGTAAAATGAAATTTCGTACTCGTTAATCATTATGTCCACAAGTAACGTAGAAAAATTCAATTATCAACCTTCATTAAAACAAATTTGTACTACCGCGATTGCGGATTTTAATTTCTTCTCTTCAATACATAGATACAAATGCACAAATACGCCCACTCTCGACTTGTCCGCGCGCACGTTCACTCGTATATGCTCGTCTCAGTCTCGTGTTGTGTATGTACGCGTACATGCTTTTTTATGCCCTTTCAATCTACGTTTATTCATTCTTTTATGGATACCAACCGGGCTCGCCTTTCATTTTGTTTCAACGGAGGAGGAGAGAACCGAATGAAAAGTTGAAACGGGCGGAGGAAAAGAGTAGAAATAAACGAATGTGAGGGTAGGAGAGGGACGGAAGGGTACGTACGGAGAAAGAGGGGAAGCGGAGGATCGAGGGGGGAAATGAAAAAGGAGACAAGGAGAAAGGGGCGAGAGCGGGTGGCGGGTTGTTACTCCCGCGATGGTGCTGGGGCAGGGGAGGAAAGGCTCGCTCGAAGGTGGAGGAAGAGTATATAAACCTGTAGAAATGCATTAGGTACCTACCTACGGGCGATATTACCCAGGGAAAAATTCTGCTTCTCAAAGGGTCGCCCCGAGTGCTTTTCAAAGTAGATTTTCGGAACGAGCTTGTCCGATCTTTCTTAAAAGGATCGCATCGAAAGGGGGAAATTGCACTAACTCGATGGACACGAGGGCCTACCGATTTAATCACCAACGCCGTAAGATTTTATCTTTCGATTTAGAAAAAACAAATATTTATCTTTTTTAAATCGCAGTGGAATGTCACAGTCCTAACGTTACGTTGAATATTCTAGTTTAAGTGGATTTTATTACATTGCGCGTGCTGCATATGCAAGTATTAGAAAGGAATCAGATCTTACAAAATATATAGAAAATTTACTTCTACCTGCAATGAGATAGAACATTCCGACTTACGTATATAAATTAGATATTCTCTACGAGTTTGCGTCAGTGTGAGTTTATTGGGCGGCGAGTACTATCTAAATTTTCATTTTATTTCTTATTATCCTGTGTATGTAAAAAAAAAAATGCGGATTGAAAATATTTTTTAATAAAAATCTGACTGATAGTTTTTATTCGATATTTTTCGAAATAGATCCGATACCGCGATTAATAATATGAACAGTTTCAAACGATTTTATCCACTTATTTAAATTAGGCAACTGTGAGCGTAAATGAAACGCCCATTGCATTATTATTCGCCGTTTTATTACTTCGTTTTATTACTTCGTAGCGGGAGATCTGACGAATAGATACGCACAATCGGAAACATTGATCGCGCGATGCCAGACACAACGGTATTCTATGGAAGAGATTTAATTTAGACGAACGTTTCAAATCAGATTGAACCGGGAAATAAGGACGTTGTATGGTAATAGTAGTAGTACCGATGGCGATGGTGTAGTGAGAAGCAATAGAATCGAGAGGGACGGGATGTAGGGGAGAAAAGAGAGGAGAGAAAACCTTTCATAGTGTTGGGATAAACGAAGAGAGAAATGGGATCGGACGTACCACCGTTGACTAATCCTGCAGCGTCGAGGAATCAATAAAAATTAATAATCATTGCTTGTAATTATCACGGTTTTTAATTAAAATTTATACGTATACCAATTAATTAGCATTCACAAGTGTTTGTTCAGGCAATCTTTTGTTTCAGGCAGGTTTAAAAAACAGTTGTTTCAATTTTAAACTACCTAAATAACCAACTACTCAGTGCTCATTTTAAAATTAAATCTAAAATACCGTTAAGCAAAAATATCTGGAATAAAAACCGATTGTAAAAGCTAAATGGACAGATACTTGCAAATAATAATGCTTTAACGGTGCGTTTTTCCAAATGTTTTAAATCGATTTACATTTGGAGCCAAGTCGTTTAACGTTCGAAAAAGCCCGTGGCTGGATTTTTATCGCATCCTGATCTTGCGTACGAATAGTCGGGATTGTGGCCGAAAATAAATTTTTTTATCCCATTTCCATATACATTACATAATTAAAGTCTCACGATTGAATAATTTCGACTTATTTCACGATATATTTAGTAAATCTGATGCAACTTCCACTTTCTCATTAATTGCCTTGAGTATGTTGAGTATGTGATTTAATCGTTTAAGTAGCAAATGAATGATTATAACAATGCACTTGTACATATAAGCCGTTTCCCATCTTTTATACTATCTATATTATGCTGAACAGATATTACACGATTAGATCATGTACTCTTACTTGTTTATCTTATAATATTTTCAAGTCGCGTATTCGTCGAGATTTCAGAGAGACTTATTCGAATCGTGTCTAAACAGATACGCGCGCGTTGGCTTTTTGCAAACGCAAAAACATTACGGATTGAAGATCTTTTGTTTTAAAATAGAAATCGTTTAGCAATAACGCATACCAGCGACAGAATACAATTTGACCCCCCCCCCCTCCGTGAACTGGAGCGCAGCCTAATGACAATAATTTCTAACCGTTTCATAAATTGGATAGAATTTTCCCTTATTCCTCGAGTTGCCTATTTCATCGAATTGATTTTGTCGAAAGGTCGTTAGATTCGTTAGGAGAAATCCAGATACGTTTCTTGCACTCGTAGTATTTTTTTATGGAAAATGTTTGCTTGAAAAATATATAATTGCCGGCACACGTGAAACTTGGAAAGGTCGGTGTCACTCAGGTAAAAAAAAAAATGCGCAACCTTTCTCACGCGCGAAGTACAGCGTAAGGTTCTCTAATGTGAGACAGTGGGTTTTCAACCCGTCCGAGTTCAATAGCGGATCTTTTTTCGGCAACGATTGCACGATCTAACGAACAATTTTCCACCAAACAGATTTCACTCCGAGGGCAATAAATTGACGGTGAGACCAGCAGAAGCTCCGCTGTCTCGTTTTAGGGGCCCATCACATAATAGGGGACTTTCCGCTGTACAATGTGGTTTTTCATAATCAGACGTAATCATTGCGTCTCAACTGAGCGCACCAGGCGACACTCTGCGCCTCGCTGCCCGCTTCGCGTACGCTTGGCGCGAGACCGTGCTGCGTTTCCCGATTGGCCTTATACTTGTGCTATCAGCGGCGTTCAACTCACCTTGTAGGAATACTGATCGAACATCCTGCAGGCCTCGAGATCGCTACTGAGAACGGAATAACCGGCATCCATACTGACCCGACGCTTCTTCTCGCCGCCTAGAACGAGCCCTTGTAAATGAAAAGCGATCTATCACGCACAGACACAGTTTAATAACTAGTACCGAACAAACTGATCGCAATTGCACCAACTATGCCGTCGTTCATCGTACGATTCGTTTTACGCACAGGCGCAGCGCGCAATCGTAATAATCGCGGTACTGTCTCTCGTCGCGTTGCACTTGATCGGCGTTTCGGCACACGCTTCAGGGTTCGTACTCCCAATCGCGACGCGCGTGTAGCCCGAGGACGAACGAATCGCGCGGGTGTCTGCCGGCGAACTTGGATTTCGGCGGGAACTCGCGATTCAATTTCAACTATTTCTCGATCGCCGTGATATTCAAATGTCTCGTCGCGCAATCGGCGGATTGTCCGCCGCTCCTGCGCCGGCGACCGAACGCGGCGTGCGTGAATTCTACTTTTTCAAAGTGACAGGCGGCAGCATACGCGGCTTAAACCGAATTTCGCTGCGACCGGGAGCGCCGGCGATCGCTCTTCCGACTCTCGGGACCACTGTCGATTGCGCGCGGCCGAAAGTGGGCCGCCAACGTAGCACGTGGACAACGCGACTGCGATCGTCACTGGTTGAGGTCGGCAGGTGCCATGCAAGACGTCGAGATAGTGCGGTTTGTAACGAGAGAGGGCGACCGCCGGCGGCCGCGCGCGCGAGCGTGCAACGGCGGTTGTACATCGGTGGCTGTATGGCGGTTACGCTCGTGGCGGTGGCCAGGGGAACCCTCTTCTTCGCTCTGCTCCGCTGCGTCGTGAGCGCTGGCGCGAACGCGAGTCTTAAGATTAAGGGCCGCGCACACCTCGGGGTGCACGGGGCGTACGAGTGTCTTGTACGACGGCGTTGTGTTATGTTAGGTTAGGGTTAGGGTTCGCGTACGATATCGCAATATCGCGCGCTACGCGTGCCACCGCGACAGTGTCATTGGTGCAACACGAGATGGTTTTCCCACCATGAAACTCGATGTTGCTCTCTGTTCGCCTGCTCCTCTCTCCCCCCCCCCTCTATCTCTCTCTCCCACTCCCCCTGGTTCTCTCCCCCTCCCCTACTCCCCCTCCCCGCCGTCTCTCTCACTCTTTCTCCTTTCTCCTCTCCCCCTCTCCTTCCCTCCACCCCCTCCTAACCGTTCGATGTACATGACGTTCGTCGATCGTTTTCTCGCGACCGTCCGCTCACGCGGGATTCGCAGAACGGATCGACTTCCCTCCTTCTCGGTGCGCGACTCCGACAGGAACGCGTATGGCCCGCGTCACTTCGCGAAAACCCTAGAGTCACGGATGCCACCTTTATATTCTTCGCAGTTCTGCTGTCTTTTGCCGTGTGTATCGAACAAACGCCTCGCAACGCGGCGACACGCGTTATCCGAACACGAATCCAGAGTTTTGTCTTCTATCTCCAATTGGTTCCCCCGTAATTGCCTATACATTCTATTTATATGCCCGGTTTATTGATCATTACAATTAAAATTGTATTACTAGCACGAACAACAGAAACGCCTTGTACGGTCACGCTGCGATGTGCACTATACATTCTGCAAAAGTAGCGTAGCGCAAAAAGGTGACGCCTGTAATTTTTCGACCTTTTTTATTAAAAGAAAATCTACGTAAAAATATAATCAAGAATTGTGTAATTTAATTATTTGGATATATTTTACGCACGTTAACGATCTTAATTAATTATTGTATTAATATCATCGACATATCTTTATAGGGACAATACACGCTGAAGATGACTAATTGTAAGTCGAAACGTCCGTTAGTTAGACATAGATTTAAGAAATTGCGTTTTCATACTGCCATCATAATTAAGTCAGATTAGAAAAACTTTGTAAATTGTAAACCTTGTTGCAGCTGATTTTTAACGTTTTATTAAATTATTTTTCGCTCGTAATACTATTGGCCTTACATTTTTAATTCCTCCCTAAATTATTTTCATTTTCTTTTACTTCTTGTCTTTTATACACTGAGGATGGTCTAAAGAAAGACCGAAACGTTTGTTAATTTTTATACTTAAATAAACAAATTTTTATCTTCTGACACTAACACCCAGTCTAGACTCTTAGCCCCCTTTATTCATTGATTTTTAATTCCTTGTTTAAAAAAACGAGCTTGTATTCAATTTTCTTTGGATATGTTGCTCTTTGTTTGCCTGCTCCTCCCCCCTCTCTCTCTCTCTCTACCTCCCCCTTTTGTTAAGAAAAAAACATGATATCAACATTTATCAAAAGAAAATCTATCTAAAAATATAATCAAGAATTATGTAATTTAATTATTTGGATATATTTTGTTAGAAAAAAATAAACATTTTTATCTTCTCTACAAAAGTAACGACATCAACATTTATTAAAAGAAAATCTACGTGAAAATGTATTCCGGTTATTGTTAAATGAATCTTATTGCATCCTCAACGATTAAATAAATGACGGAGATGAAGAGCACGAATTTTACTTAACGTTTTCGGCTCCTACCGCGTGCGAATCGACCATTTAGCAGCAGGAGATAATAAAACTGGGACGGACATGGAAGCAAGAGCAATTACGGGAGAAATCACATTCCACAGTACGTAAAGTCAATATGGAGCACTATGGATTTTACATCTTCTTGAGAATATTTTCCTAATACAACCTTAACGGGGGAGGGGGGCTAAATTAAGTTAAAGAACTACAATTATATATTGCAAAACTAAATTTCGCTATTTACGCGAATTACGGTAAAGTTGTTGCCTTATTTTATTATTTTATATCAAATCAAATGTTTAGCTATCGGTATAGTTTATCTTTTGTTTCTTAATTACTATTCAGGTATAGCATATCTGTACAATGCCGTGAATAACCTTTCGTGCCTAATAATTCACGCCTAATTCCCCATTTCTTTAAATCACGTACGTCAAAATAATAAGAAACGCATATGCGCACCTAAAAACATGTGTGTGTTTAGAAAAATTACTTCACTTTTAAATTTATTTCATTAGACAAATAAGACTTGATCGCATTATTAGATACTTGAAGCTTGTTTGACAACACGAGTCCCACAGCAATTGGAGCAAATATCGATCAAGTTCGTCATCAACTAACTGCCGAGGAGCCGCGAGGTGTTATATCATAAAGCAAACCCGATCGTGGGCATCATATACGTAGGGTCAGTGACGGCTAGTAGTCACGTGATTTGCACGTGGGTTTCATTCATAAAACGTGTTCGTAAGTTGTAGCCGCAGCAATGCCGACAGTAGCAGCAGCGGTGGCTGGCTGTTGCCGATGTAGTAGTAACAACACTGGTAGTAGTGATGCGCGCAACAACAGCGGGAGATAGTAGTAGTAGTATCAGTAGTAGTAACTGCGGTAGGTAACAAGCAGGCAGGCAGGCAGGCAGACAGACAGGCTATCAGGCAGGAAGGTGGTTAGCCCGAACTGGCTGGCTGGCAAGTGGAGGCAACGACGGATGCCGTAGAATGGAGTTTGTAGTGGCGCGCGATGTGTTGGTTTACACGCGTTAGATTTTCGCCCCGAGCGAGCTGTCCAACCAACCAGCCAACCAGCCAAGTGAAGCGGAGGAAAAACGAGGAAGAGGACTCACGCGATCGTGGGATCAGATGTGATATCTCTTTCGCTTTCTTTTCCCGACCCTTCTCTCTTCGGCTTTTTCGTGCGAGCTTCCTGAAAGCTTCCCCTGTGTCAAGTATCCGTTATCCGCACTGTCGTCTCAAAATTACACCTTTAAAACCGTCTTTATTCCTCGCCTCATTTTCCCGCAGTCTGACTGCCTCTGCTCTTTTACTTTTATCCCTCCCCCCCTCTTTTTACTAGCTGTGATGCTCGTTCGCTCATGTTCATATGAATCCAACGAGCTCCGATGAGCGTAAGCTCTCGAGCAATAATTTTATTGAAATCGTGCTTTAATTTCTTTCCTATCTTGCTTGCGAATCTTACATTTGTGTGTGAGACATTATTGAAAAATATCCAAGTACTAACTTGTTAACATTATGGATGCAACGTTAGTTCACGAAACACTGAGAAAATAACAAATGGATACTGCGATTCTTAAAACCTGATCGTCTTACAGACTACAGAATCAATTTCTGAATAATAAATTTACAGTCAATTACCACTGTGCAAGCATTTCTACGAAAAGTCCCGCACTCATATTAATGCATATGATTATGATTAACAATTTTGTGGATTACGTTACAATATCTTATTATTATCATCGTGGTCATTAATTTAGCGGCATGTGAAACGGTATCATCAATCTTTTTTCCCGCCCGTTCGTTATCAGCATTGCAGTCACATTAAAAAAAATTTTTTCGACCCTTCGCTCGTCAGAATTTCTTCAGCCTCGCATGAACCAATCTTAATCTTTGCAATCAGGCTGCATTTTTCATTCACGATTATTACAACGAAGCGATATTCCACCGTCTCTTAAGGCTTGATCAGTTCTACATACGATAATGAGGACTTACAAGTCGCGTAATATGCATACGTTCTTAAAAACAGCATACGTACATTTTAGACTTCCGAGTCTCGTTGAACGCGCGCATATCCCGCGGGAATCAATATCCGCGCGTCTCCCAGCCTCTCCCCTACACCCCTGTCTTCCCCAGCCCCTCATCGACCATCTCTCGTTCTCCTGCCTCCCTCTTTCCTACGGTATATGGATTTACCCCCTCACTCATACTTTCTCACGGGTGCTGCACCTTCTTCCATACCGTGCACTGTGTACCACCCCTCCCCCTCCCCCACCTCCCCCTCCCCTAGGCAGAGTGGAGTGGAGTAAAGCGGAGAGGAGCGGAATGGAGCGGTGCGGCCGTCCGCCTCTGATGAATGTGATTTTGAGAAGGGGAGAGCGGAATACGGCCGCCTACCTTCCTCCTTTTGGTACCTCTACACCCCTTTCTACCACCCACTCACTCTCCCCACGCCAGACTCGATCCCTCCTGCTCCCCTTACCCCACCATCTTCTCTCCTCTATCAACTTCCACCACGTCAACCTACCAACCTCTCCTTCGTTTCTCTACCCCGGCAGCTACGTCTCTCCCAAGTCGACACACAACTACAAAACATTCAATTTGAACGTAAAGTTAAAACGAAATGGATTTTCCAGCGTGAGTACAGTCACTATCAAAAGCCCACGCTCAGTCTCCCCGATGATTGCACGTAGATTCGCGATATCAGAAAAAAATGCAGATAACAGAAAAGTGTTAATATTTTTACGTACCGCGCTTTCGTGCAATCGAAATGTCTTTGTGTTTATTCTTCTACAAGAGTACCCTTCATAATGGATATCGGAATAATGCAGATTGCGTGCAACATTAATTGTATTGCTTTGCCGCTCAGAAATAATTTCAATGTTTTAACAATTGTTTCTTCCTTTTACTTCTTTGTTCTTCCTTTGTTCTTTGCTTAATAAAGTAATTATTGTTTGTATGATATCTCATTTTATTGCTGTCTGTTTTATTGTTCTAAGGCATGAATTAGTTATCACGAAGATTGGAATTTGGAAAGATTCTCTGTCGAAATCTTCTAAAATTACCAATTCTTAATATCCCTATCACAAATTTAAAAAAATCGATCAAGTTGCTTGCGATGAATTAACTACTAATTATTCAATGTTCTTTGCGTATCTTCTCTTGTCAATGATTTTAATTATAAAACAGTTGTGAAACTTAAATTAGATTATATATT